TCAGAGAGGGAAATAACTCTATTCCAGAGAAAAACAGGCTTAGAATCACAATGCAGAAAGGGGAGGAGTTAAGACCAGTAGAGGCCACATCTAAAGCCTCTCACTCAAGTAGACTATTACTTTTTACCTCTCCTTGTTGTAACTATGTGTTGGTAGTAGCTTGTCTCTTGTAAGGTTTTGGCCCTGGAGTACAGCAAATTTCCATGTGCTTCACAGGTCTAGTCATCACCAAGTGTCAGCTCCCTTTGCACCTTGAAGGCAAATGGCTAGAAAAACTTTAAGTTCCCTTTAGAAACGAACAAATATACTATGCAAAACAGTAAGAATTCAAATAGTCACTTTTGGAAATTAGCAAATACCATGTAAAAGATGTTAAAATCCAAAATAATTCCTTTAAAACAAAATAATTCCTTTAAAGATGTCATACAAACAATGTCAAAACCTAAAAATAATTCCTTTAAAAATTCGTAAATATGTCAAACAATGTAAAAACTTAAAACAATCATCTTTTAAAACCAGTAAATATACCATATAAAAAGTTAAAACTCAAAGTGATCCCCTTTAGAAACAGGCCCAAGCAATGTTAAAATTTAAACTCCCATTGTGGAGATCTGGTATTACTCCCTTAGTCTGAACTAGAAATGCATTGCTTATTCTATGACATCATGAAGAAACAAAAACAAAAATAAATTGCAAGAGAATTAGGACATATGATTAAATGTCTGAAGTTTAGGGAACTCCTAGGCACCTCTGGTACCAGTAGGTTAGACTTGATATAAAAGAAGAAAGTGCCCTCAGACATATATATGTGACCCGAATAGAAAGCAAAGCAAAGGAATCCATGTCTCTCACCAACCAGTGTAGCTGTGATGGCAAGCAAAGTTTTCCCGATTTCTTCATTCCTAGATACCAGCTATGCTGGAAAAGAGACTCATAAGGGCAGCAGAAGAAACGGCATATATACAGTGCGTTGTAGGTCTGAAAGCATGCGTCTTGCTGGAGCACTGTCTGTGACTTTTCATGTGTACTGAAATTTAAAATGGTTAGTTCTATTTAAAATTTTAAATAGTTAGAAAAGTAGGCACCTGAGCACTGCTTACTTGGTGCTCAGTCAAAATTTTAAGTCAAAATTTTCAGTCTTTTTGCTCAGTCAAAATTTTAAGTCCTTTTGCCTGAGAAAAAGTTTAGGAGAAAAAAAATGGCTTTTAAAATCTTTTCCGTGTGTCCATTCTTTAAATGCTCCAGCAAAGCTGCCCAGCTGGTTTAGCCTATCTGTGTCAAAACAGGGAGAAAGGGTCCCCTAAAGGGTTTTTAGTCTCATTCATAAGAGAATTTAAGAATGGGTCCAGATGGAAACTTTTACCATTTTATTAGACTGTTAAAGAAAAAAATCCCTAGGGCAGGTGAGCCAGTAATCTTGGCAGCTGCCTGGAGGGGGTGAATAACAGGAACGAAAGAAAGCCTTGGAGCCATGGAGGTTTAGAGCCTGCATGAGACATCAGACACATGGTGGGTTGGCAGGCACATGGTGGGAATAGAAAGCTTTAGAGAAAATTAAAGAAGCACAAGGCAGTGGCAAACCTAAAGTGTTAATTGAAAGTATGTTTAAAAGGGACATAAGGAAGAAATTTTTCTTTGAAATTTTTAGAAAAGCAGGTAGACTTATAGAGACCTAAACATTTGTAGGTGGGTTTGGATGTAGAACAAGAGTTACCATAGGGATAGAGAGAAGAAGGATCTAGAGCATTTTCATGTGTAGGGAATCCATAAGTAGTTAGACGAAGGAGGAAAGATAGCCTAAGGTAGAGGATGGAAGCAGAGGGGAGGAGACCTGAAATTGGATTGGACGGTATCAGAAATCATCCCGAGTGAAGTGAGGAAGAAAGGCATTGGAAGAGGACAAAGACAGGAAAAAGGATGGAAGACAGAGGACCTTCCAAGCTCATGGCAAAGGGGGGTGGGGGGGGGAGAGAGAGAGAGAGAGAGAGAGAGAGAGAGAGAGAGAAAAAGGAGAGAGGAGCAAAGCAAAAATGAAGGTGAGATGTTGGGGAAGACGAAATTGGGGGTGACTGAGGTATCGAGTGCTGCAGGGAGGCAGGCCCACCCCCCAGGTGGGTTTAGGCACAGTAACCACAGGACACTCAATGGTCGCAGAGATCAGAGCTGCACAGTGGCCTTGAGTCAGGTCTGAGAGTGACCAAATTCAATTGGAAAGGAGAGCAAAAGAAGATGTAGGAGAGTCGGAAAGAAGTGAAAGCAAGGCAGAGAGGAGAGAGAGAGAAAGGAGAGAGGAGGAGAGAGAAAGGAGAGAGGAGGAGAGAGAAAGGAGAGAGAAAGGAGAGAGAAGGAGAGAGAAGGAGAGAGAAGGAGAGAGAAAGGAAGGGTGGTGTGTACCTGAAAGCCAAATCAGTGGTGTTTGCAGAGACCAGTAATGGCAAGCAGGTCCAGTCGGAGGATTTTATGTGCAAGTTCTGGAAGGTCGCAGGGCCCTTGAATTTAGAACTGGGTTTTGGCACCATATGATAGATAAAGTCGAGAGATGAATCCCGTCGATCAGGAGAAAGCAGTTTATTAGCAAAGGAAGCCTCACTCAGGACTTTTCCTCCTTCTTGGTAGGGAAAATGTCAGCCCACAGGTTATGAGCGGGGGACTTTTATTGGGGGGAGATTCGGGGGGTGCAGAAGGTGGGAAGATATACTTTTTAAAAAAATTAGGCAGGGGGAAATGGGAGAGTGGGACTGTTAAAACCCACCCCTTCCATCCGTCAGCCAGGAGCTAGGTCAAGAGGTATCTGTTTTACCCTTTGAGATCAAAGAGAAAGCCTGCTATGCTGGCTCTTTACTTCAAAGACCAGGGTGCTTATCAACTTGGTTCCTGGTTCTCAGGGGCTTGCGAATCCATGAGCCCCCCTGCCCCCGGAGTGGGGGGGGGGGCTGCTGTAGATCAAAACCCTAACACCATCACCATCCTGTAGATTTGCCTGATTGTGAAAATATGTGTAGGTGAAGCCATGTACTGTGTTGCTATGTCCTGCCTGACTAGGGAATGGTGGACACAAAGAGGGATAATGAGGTATCTAATAATAAAATGTCACACAGAGACAGTTTAGTATTTAAGAAAGCTGGGGACCAGGAGACTCCCTGTTCTGTAGAACAAAGAGCACTCCAGCCTCTCACTCTCAAGGTTTTATTCCCAGGGATGGGGTGCTCTAAGCAGGTATTCAGGAACAAATGGTATGCAGATCAAAGGACATGTCTCTGCCAGAGCTCAGGAAACAATTAGCAATGAAGTGTGGCCTGTTTGCAAAGCACACAGCAGATAATTCACACAACAGTGTAAATAAGGCATAGTTTGTTATCTAATCTAAACCTAACCATAAGGGACAATGCACTTCAGAACCGGCATGCATCCATCTACATATATGCCTATCTGGCTCTGCCATTATTGGCAATCTTGGCTACTGGTGACCTTGCACATGTAGTCAAGCATGCTTTCTGCAGAGTTCAAACAGGGCAGTCATCTCCAACATTGTATGTAAATAAGAAGGTAAAGCCATGTACTGTGTCTAAATGTGAAGGTGAAGCCATATACTGTGTCTAAATATGTAGCCAAACCATGTACTGTGTTTAAATACATAGGTGAAGCCATGTGCTGTGTCCAATTATGTAATTGAACCATGTCTAAATATGTAGGCAAAGCCATGTGCTGCGTCTAACTATGAAGGTAAAGCCATATACTGTGTCTAAATATGTAGCTGAGGCAATGTACTATATCTAAATATGTAACTGAACCATATACTATGTCTAAATATGTAGGTGAAATATGTACTGTGTCTATGTATCCAAAACATGTACTGTGTCTAAATATGTAGCCAAAACATGTACTATATCTAAATATGTAGGTGAAGCCACATACCATGTCTAACTATGAAGGTAAACCATATGTTGTTTGTTCCTTTGTGGCTGGCTTCTTCTGTTCAGTATTCATTCACACTCTGAGCATTCATTTATTGCTTTGTAGAATACCACTGTGTGAGAACAACACAATATACCTGCTCTATCTGTGGACATTTGGAATTTCCCCAGTCTTTAGTTATTCCGAGTAAGGTGCTATGAATAGTCCTGTACATGTACTTTGATGGAGGGGAAGGGCAGGTGGACAAGATGTGGGAGGGAAAGGGGACAAACACACTCACTTCTCCCATGGAAATCCTTAAGTGGGAGCCTTCCGGGTCTTAGGGTGGTACGTGCTGCTCAGTTGTGCCAGTTTTCTCAAGTGAAATTATTAACACTAAAACATGCCCAGTCTAAGTACTAGAGGGAATTAAAGGTGTAAAGAGTTGGAAAATATTTATAGCCTAAAATTCTATTTAAAAATTCAGTTTTAGGCAAGAACAATAAATAGTGGGAACCTAATAAATTCTGTCATTGGATGAATAGAGTGTGGAGAACTAATGTTTGGAGATTAAAGTTAATTAATAGTAATTTAGAAAAATGTACTAAGAAACTTGCTTGCCATGGCCCAACAAGACATTGTTCAAAGCAGATACGTGAAAAAAGGCTGTGATTTGGACTAAATATATTGTTCTGTTGAATAACTGGAGTTTATTCCTCCTACGCCTGATTAAAAATAACATCTTGATGTCCCAGGCCCATGCCATTATTTTTACATCCTTTTTAATTTTGCTTTTATAAAGCTACAAAGTGTGCTTTTTCACATGACCAGGGACTTATCTAACCTTCACTGTAATTCTCCTACTTCCAGCTTACAAGTTCCTCTGGAAGGGAGAAGGTATTTTTGTATTCACGATCTCCCCACAATTCACCACACTCTCCCCACAGAGACAGAGTTCCAGAACTGGGAGACCCCACCCAGAGAAGGCTGTCATTTGTCTCTGACCACAGAGACAGAGTTCCAGAACTGGGAGACCCCACCCAGAGATGGCTGTCATTTGTCTCTGATTGTCAATAAGATGTGATTTTTGCATTTGTTCTTTTCAGTTATCTCAGGGATCTCCAGAACCAATTGAGCCAAACTTCTTTACGGCAGACTACCACTTACTGCACCATTCATCAGGTGGAAACAGTGGGTCCCCAAGTGACCCCACAGGTAAGAGGAGTCTGGCTTTCACAAAAAAACAAATGAGAAAAAAAGAGAATCACGTTGCTTTGATAAGTAGCTAATCCTAAAATAGAATCTTCATCTTAAAAGAAAGACAGAGCTTATTTTTTTCACCTTCGGTGGAGGTCAGGAGTACTTTTAACATGAATCTAGATGTACCCTGACATTGTCCTCCCTAGCTGAGGCAACTTCTCCCATCATTTATTTTTGCCACGAAGAACAGAATCTGTGCAGGTGAATTATATTTATTTTTAAATGTTTTTAATTATATATATATAAGGTATAAATTATATATAATATATAATAAATTAATATATATATATATATAGTTAAAGTGTGTTGCCTGCATGTGTGTAAATGCACTTCATGTATGCCTGGTACCTGCAGAGGCCAGAAGAAGGTGTCAGATACCGTGGAACTGGAGTTATGGACACTTGTTGACCACCATGTAGGCACTGGGAATCCAACCCAAGTCCTCTGCATGAGCAGGAAGTACTCTTAACTGCTGAGCCATCCCTCCAACCTTGAATTGTATTTCTTATTTTTTCCTGCTTATCTGATGATGGGAAATCAATTGTCTAAAAGCATCTGGAGATATAAAAAGCAGAAATGGAAAGTTTAAGCATTTAAAATGGAGACAAGTTGAGAGGTACCTGAAGAATCCACATCAGACATGCTACATTATTATTATTATTATTATTTTTTAGAATGATTCTATTCTAAAGGCAGGTCGCATGGGATTAAAGACACAGTCTGGAGCCCTGGATTTCAGATTCAAATCTCTGTTCAGCCATTTGGTAGCTGACCTTGAACCTCTCTAAACTTCAGCATCTTCTCCTGTAAAATGGGGATAAATATAAAACAAAATGACAAATAAGTAAATTTATTTTAAAGATAATAAAGCAGATAATAGAATTTTAAAATACTAAAATGGGGAAAAGAAAATGACAGACAAACTGATAAAATACTGAAAATAAAGGATAAACATTTCCTTCCATATAGTCAGTGAGGATCCAGTGGACATGATAAGCCAGACTGTTGGCCTGGCTCAGCAGGACCACAGTCTTTGTGATAGACTTGAACTGTGAGAAGCAGCATCCTCCATTCCGTTTGAACCTTCTGAACTGTGGTGATGTTACCAGGCACAGTGCCCACAAGTGAAGCTTTCCCAGTTCAGTGACGATCTGGTAGCCTGTGCAGGGTACTCTTGTTATTGCCCAAGAAAGCATTTTGTATGTTGTCAAACTTTGCCTAAGTCTGTACTCCTGAGATAAATCAAATCCTGGGCAGGCACAGTTTCATTTAAACTACATCCTGAGAAATCCTTGAGATCAAGATAACAAGTTGCCTAAAGTCGTTTACTTTTAAAAGCTTCCCCCAGGCCAGTACATTCACCTGCAGGTCCCACTTCTTATAAGAGTAACTGAGATGAAATGAAAAGCTCTGACAGAAGTCTCTCCAAAGCCTGAGAATGGGTGAACCAACTCTTCCCAGGGTGACTGGCTGCTCCACCCTAGATCTTAGTCTTAGCCTAACCCAGTCACAGCAGGCTTAGTAGAACCAAAGACACAGGGCCTGCTGGCACCATGGAGAATACCTTGAAAACAGGACTTTAAAAATGAGCTGCCAGACACAAAGTGTGTCTTCATGCCTCCCTCCACCCAACCTGCAAGTCCTCTTGCCTGTCTCCAGAGAGGCCGCCACGTAAGTCAGCATAGATTGACTCAGAAAACCAACCAACAATTGCTTTGGATGGCATTGTGGTGGCTTCAGGTACGGCCAGTTCATATTAAGACTAATCTCTTACGGAGTTTGAGATCATTGGGGAAATACCACTCAGACTCAAAAAGTTCCAAACCAGCTGAATTTATTTAGCTTGCCAGTGACTGCGCTCTCTGAGCCAATTTAATGAATGCAGCCCTAACTGGGAGGGGATAGGAGTGTGGAAAGGTAAAAGCCACAAGAAATCTGGCATTTTAGTTAAGCAATTGCAAGGTGTTAATTACAAGTTATCCGGTTTTTCCTTTGGATAAATGTAGTATTTATGAAACTTAAGCTAGTTCCTGTCTCGCAAACCAGCAGATGTACAGAAGTATAAAGATAAGCATTACTGCAGTGTCTTGAAGGTGACACCATTGTGGTCAGGTATCTCTCAGAATCCAGCTTCTAAGGGGGAGCTGGGGGGAGGGGCTTCCTGGAATTAACCTGCCTGGCTTTGGAGGAGGGTAACCAATTGGAGTTGCTTATGCTGTCACACCAACAGAAACTCTTCTGGCATGAAATGTGTTTTCATCCTAGGCAGATATTTGCAGTTTTTTTTTTTTTTTACCATTTCCATCTTCCTGTAAGAACTTATCAGTACATATCTCCTTGTCTCATGGATGAGAGACTTTCCTAATCAGACTACTCACCCATCAGGGAATTTGTATCAGAAGTCACCGTTCACCTGCCCTTAACACATACATGTCCCTGATTTCCGTGGTCAGCTTTCCTCCTAAATTTTTGTTTATTGCTTTGTGACAGCCACACCCAAAGCAACCACTCACAAAAGAGAAACAATTGTGTGTGTATGACATATGTGTGTGAGTGTGGGTATGAAAGTACCATGGTGTATATGAGGAGGTCAGATGATAACTTTTGAAGTCAGGCCATCAGGCTCGTGTGGCAAGTGCTTTTACCTACTGAGCCATCTCTCCAATCCTGGAATTTACTTTTGGGTCTGGTCTTTATAGTTAAAAAATTGACCTGCATTCATTGTAGTTGAAGTTTAGTTGTTAATAAAGTGTAATTAAGACATTATGAACCAAATGTTAGATTTTGTATAACTCCTGTGTTTCAGGCCCACCCAGCTGCCTTGATTTGGAGGAAGGAATCACCTATGAACAGATGCAGGTAATGTCTCAACAGTGCCCTTGAATGCTTTTGCTTTATTGCTTTTAATTCAGAATTAATGTGACTTTTTTCTATTTTAGACTGTGATTGAAGAAGTTCTAGAGGAAAGTGGGTATTACAATTTTACATCAAACAGGTGAGACAGAGCTTGCTCTCAAAAGTGAAAATGAATCAATATAACTGGATATTAGATTGCTTTCTTGACCCGTAATCCTAGAGAGCCTTTTCTTTTTATAAAGTGTCTTCACTTTGACTAGATACATAGATAGAATAAGTGTTTCACAGCTTTTGTGGAGACACAATTGGTGCTGAGAGCTCCATTAAAACAAGAGGTTACTATGAAGTAGTTGTTGACATCTTTTAAGACAATAAAGACAATTCAGTGGGAAAGCATTCAGTTAGTTCCTTTATAATCATTTGTTCAATCCACCCTAGAAGAGCGGGAAGCTCAGACATACATCATAGAAACCTACCCATTATTTGCATAGACAATTAGGACAAAAATGTAACCCATCAAAGTATTGATTTAGGTGAATTTAGGATAAATAGACTCTATTTATCAATATAAATCCAATTAAATCCTGTAATTTTACTATTAGGCACAGTGTTGGCATGATAGCTTGAGTGTACTTAGTTTGTTTCAGGGGTGATTCTGGAAAACACTGGTAGGAATGAAGTCAGTCAATAAGATTTCACTGTCAAGCAAGTTTTCACATTGGGTATCTGGAGCTTGAGCACTGGACCGCTCTGAGAACCTGGTTGACAGCACACCCACTCAAAGAGTAGTTATCCTCCAGTCTATAGCAATCATTCTTGGTGGCCTTTTCCCAGGAAGTGGTAATTTCTGGTGTTTCTGGCCTTTTGTAAGGATGGACAAATAGTCACTAGCCGCCAGAGAAGACCTGTGGAAATCAGGTCTTGGCAGTTGGGGACTGGCCAATGTGTGTGGAAGTGGTATGGGTGAGAGGGTCCAGGCAGTAGTAGCAGCACCAACTCACAGAGTTGTTCCTCTGTGTTTCTAAGGAGCCATTCAGCTGAATCATCTGCATCTGCACACACATCCCATGTGCTCCAGGCTGTTCTAGGAGGCACAGCCCTTTGGAGTGTGTTCCCCACATAGCCATCTTCCTGGAGGATCTGCCTTCTTTCTCTAGCTAGTATAGCCTCTTTGTGAATACCTTCTAAATTATTCCAGAAGTGTTTCATAAAGATAGCTAGTAGCCAAGAAATGAGAAACAGGGCTCAAGAATGTCTCGTTAAGGTCATTATATAGAAATTACCTTCTTTGAGGGTAGTTCAGTCTATTTTTCTTTTCCTGCTCTCTTTTCAGTGAGTTTTTCTTCTGAATCACACATAAGATTATTCACCTACTTGCTCTTTGGGCTTGATAATCTTTCTAAAATACAGCCTTTGTAAATTTAGTACTGTTTGCAATTTGTAACTGCAGAGAAATGATGAATAATTTTCATCTTTTAAAGATCTGTTGTTAATAGAACTCACCATCTTCACAACTACTCTCTTCCCACTAATCCTGGAGAGATCTTTGCATTTTCACTTTCTGCTTGAGTGCTGAGGATGTGAGCCTTATGTGAATCATGGCCACATCTGTGCTCTTGTCTCTCAGCATCTTATTATTTCAAGTGCTCTTGGCTTGTAGTGGGGTAGAGGTTGTCATTCTATGATTGTTTTTATTACGTATGTATTTCCTTATAGACTCAGGAGCTAGGGATGTAAATAGTTTTGTATTGTTGCAGAAAATCCAACTATGTATCAATAAAAAACTAGTAGTGTGAGTTTATAGAAGCTTATGATTGATATTATTGGATTATTAATGGCACTTCTTTATTGTCATCTGTAACTAAATACAAACTCAGAAAATTTAAGCCAGACCACAGCTTAATGGTTCAGTGATTGGCCAGGTGATCTGTGCATAAGTTCAAAGGGACAGTCTTAAATTTTAAGTGTGAGATTGAGGAAGTAACTCAGTGAGTTAAGTGCTTGCCATGCAAGCACGAGAACCCAAGTTTGATCCCCTCTATCCAAAGGAATACTGACAATGGATTGCCGTAGATGAGGAACAGCTGACCCTCCTGGAACAGGGACCTCTGGCTGACTAGATTTACCAGAAGGGCAGACAGGGGGAATGGATGAGGGTGCTGACAACACAGTGGACAGTGACAGGGATGGCAGAGTATGGAGCC